CTACAACAATTAAGCCTCCATCGGAAATGCAGCCGCCGCAGCCGGGATACGAACCCGCTAAATGTGGAGCTTGTGAAGCGGCCTAGAGCGCTATGAGCGTAGCATGCACTCATGTTTTACATGACACGCATGCTAAGATTTCAAGTTCGGACGTGTCCTTTATTGTCGTCATCTATTCAAGTCACATGATACGAAATTTGGTATATGTGGAGCTAGCGAACCGCCACGAGTGTGCTATGAGCGTAGCATGTAGTGATACTTTACATGACACGCATGTCATGATTACCACGTTGGGACGTGTTATTTACCTTCGTCGTCCGTTCGAGTCACGTAATACCGAAATTGGTATATGTGAAGCTCACAAAACTGCCGCGAGCGCATCATGAGCGTGGCGTGTAGTCCTGTTCTTACATGACATGACTATAATGTTTGCAACAGTCGTATATTTTCGTTATTCATTCACATCTCCTAATAGAGAATTTACTGCATGTCAAGCGAGCAAAACAAATGCCAGCGCATCAAAAGCGTACAATGTAGCCATGACTTACATGAAATGCTTGCCATAATTTCCACGTTGGGGTCTGTCACTTATGTTCGTGATGCAGTCATGTCATACCATACCAGTTTTTCAATATATCATGCGAATGAAACTATCGCAAAAGCAGCTAGACCATGAAATGTGAATCATAACATTCACGACATACGTGTCATAATTTTCATGTTAAGACTAGGCAGTTATCCTCGTCATACAGCTATGGTGTGTGTCATACCAATTTTATCTGCAATACCATAACCGAAACGGCCAGGAAAGCCAAAAGGCGTAGGTGGCTGGATAGATAGATAGATAGATAGATAGATAGATAGATAGATACGATCAAAATCAGTGAAGTTTGCTAAGAGATGTTTCTCATCTAAAATCATTTAGAACAGCTTCCACTGGTGTTGCCAAGTCCGAATGAGCTGCTCAACTGGGTTGCTTAATTTCTTTTTCTCGCCCTTAATTTTCTTCTATTTCTTTCACTTTTATTCTGCTTGTTCAAATTAACGCATTATATTTTTTATTTCAGTCTTGCTTTTTACACTCTCTATCTGCATGGTTGCATGCTCGCTTTTTTAGTCAGTCATCTCTGTCTTTGTGTCTCTCTCTTGTCCATTTCTTTCTGCATTTTTATTCGTCTACATCTTTTGTTTTTACAGATGATAGTCTTTATTGAGGACCTTTGACGCAAAAACGTTAGTCTGTCTGTCTCTACATTTGTCTGTTTTTCCGCTTTTACTGGTACCCTAAATGACATCAAAGGATACCCCAAAGACGGCCCCCATCGGCTTTGCCTGTCAATAATGCTCAAGTTTTAGCGTTCTTATTTGTGCGATTGTCAATTCGAAACCAATGATTATACTTGAGAAGGCTCACATAAGTAATTATAAAGACCGTAGCGTTTATCACGCTGCGCTGACAGTGCAACATTATGCCTAAAAAGGCAAATGTTTCCAATGCATCGCCCAGACGACGCGGTGTCGGCACCTACTCGTCGCCTTGCGTTCTACACCTTATCGCCTCTAAGACGGGCGAGCAAGTTGCACGCTTCATTTTCCAAGATGTGTGCCAGACAGCGCTCATGTTGCACCTTTGACGTGACTCGATGCGCTCGTTTGCCTCCGCTACACGCTTGAGGCACGCTGACGCAGTGCCTCCACATAACCATTCACCAATTTTCTTGCGCAGAGCATTCAAAAAACGTTTTGTTCACTGTCTCCGGACGCAAGACTATCGTCTTTCGATGAAGTTTGCAGTGTAACATGCAGATACGGGGCCAGTTCTTATTACTGTATTTTTAAAGTCGATAGTATTTCTTGGAAACCTTTGACGCAAAAAGTTTCGTCTGTTCGTTTGTCCACCCTTAACGGTTCCGGGTACATCAAATGGCACCAGCCGATACCCCCAATGGCCGACTCATCCGCAGCGCCCACCAATGTTGCTCAAGATGCAGCATTCATACTTGTGTGATCGGTAATTGAAAAGCAAATATTGCGCATGTCTGATGCACCATAACAAAACGTATATATTCTTTATGTGCGACTTTCCTAGAACAGGCATGCATAGGTAATTCAAAGTACCGTAGCGTTTATTACGCTTCGCTTACCATGCAACGCTTTCACGAAAAGGCGAGTGTTTCCAACCCTTTGCGAAGATGACACGGTGGTTGCACCTACCCATCGCCTTGCGTTCTATACCTTATCACCTCTGAGACGGGCGTGCGCGCCAGTCTCAGAGCCACGCGCTTTGGTTTCCAAGAAAACTGCCAGATAGCACTCATATGTCTCACGTGTGGCGTGACTTGATGCGCTCGTTTGCCTCTGCTGCACGCTAGAGGCACTCTAACGCAGCGCTTCCAGAATACCATTCACCGATGTTCTTGCGCAGAGCATCAAATAAACGTTTTGTTCACTGCTCAACACGCAAGGCTATCGTCTTTCATTGACATTTGCAGATTACATGCAGATACGGGGGCCAATTTTTGACTTTGTTCTGTTCACTTTTCTGTTTTGTTCTTTTTGTTCTGTTATTTTTTCTTTTTCTGTCTTTTTATTTCTATTTACTTCTGCTATTTTCCATCTGTTTCTTTTCATCTCTCTTCTTCACACGTTTCACGAGCTCAACTTCAATAATAAAAGCTTTCGTTTACTGCTAGTACCTGCTAGATTCGGTAGTAGGGCTAGCCTATTTCAAATGACGCGTACCGATCTGAGCTTTCCTCGGAAACCTTGCTAGGTTTTTGTTTGATGTGATAAGAACCATTCGGCATCCTTAAGGCCTGGTCTCATTCAATTCTCAAACTTCCTCCAAATACGTAGTGTACTGTGATCTTTTGTAAACACAAAGCCAACTTAATGTAATATTTATGCACTGAAAGTGAAACACACGCACACATCAACAGAATACTCCGCGATCCACAGCGGCACGTTCTCATGTACGTTTCAAAATGCGTCCCTAGGAAACACGTTATCTTCGGCGAAAAATAGGTTGTTCAGCTAAATGACATAATATAGCCATCTAATTTCAATAGATCTGGAACACTTGTGTTGTCGCTTATCACAAATATGCTCACCCCTGTCTAAGCGAGAATGGCCTCCTTCACGGTATTTTTATGAGCACACACTTTGCAATTAGATTTTGTTGTGTGTTTTTACAGACTTCGAAACAATACCAAAAACATCAGGACTACAAACACGACACACAATTGGGTAGATGGTCGTTTCTGAAGCGTAAATCTCACGACAATGAAGCGATAAATATTCCCATATTATAAAAGTGAAGGGTTCATTGTACAATATGACATACTTAAAATATACTTCTAAAACAGTCACTACACAAAAACATCACTGTTTAGTGTGTCCATAGCGCAATAGTCAACAAAGGGCTTGTGGCCTCCAATCTGAAGTTCAGCCCAACAAGTAGCCACCGACTTTGCAAAGCACATCGTATCCTATAATCCAACACAAACATTCTCCAATTGTAAACACCTCGAAGAAAATAGCTTCTTGGTGATTGGTTCAAAGCTGCTGATTGAGAAACTTCACAAGTAGGAGGTGCCTGTGCAACGAAGTCCTATGTCGTTGCGTGCGTCAAGGAAAAGGTTCTCCGTAGAGCCTCTTCATAACTGACTGCACAGCCGTCAGTATCTCAAACTTGCCGAAAGAAACAGTATGACCAGCGTAGGTGAAACTAGCCTGCACGTCGTCATCTGACAAGTCATCGAGGACGACGCATTTGTCTTTTCCGTAGGCCTTGAGCATCTCGTTCACCTGTAAGGGAACGTACAATGCCATTCAGTAGGTCGATCTGACTGAACAATTAGGCTGAATGACCATTCATGAATACGATGGCGATAACGTGGAGGCAAATCGACAGAACTTTCTAGCGTATTTGCTCCTCGTATTTGACCTTTTTTCTTTGTTGATTATACGACCACTAGAAAGATATCTTGACGTTATCTGTGAAGAACAGTTCTAATGTAAGTCGCCTTGACGAATATTGAGCAATATGGACATCAAGGGGTGTTCCAATAAATTTTTCAACGAAGTTTCTACTTACTGCTTTCCTGAAGTTAAACTGATCGACAATATTCTAGTATTCTATCAGCAGACAGCTATTTGCCTAATGCCAAATAAAGGTGCTCAGAAATTCAGCAACATAATTTGGTAGTGCAAGTAATGTTTCCCATAGTTTCGCATAAATTTAGCAGCATTTTTAAATTACTCATGGAAATCAACTTTGACTATAATATTTACCTTCCATAGTCTTCAAGACGCTCCTCAAGAGCGAAAAGAAGGCAACAGTAATGCACTGCAACTATATTACCGTACACGTTCTATCAGTGGCAAGCTGTTGTAATATTTTACAATGAAGAAAACGCTGAAATCATGAAGTGTACGGTCATGTAGCACACACCGGTCGATGATGTGCGTGGGTGGCAACATGAATTTTTGTACAACAGAGCGGCTTTTAGCTGGAGACTATTCTATCGAACTCCTTGAGAATTTCGTCTTGAAAATATACTTTCAATATTTCACCACTTCGTGTAATAAAAGTCTATTTCATCACGTACTTTTTTTCACAAACAAACGCATGAAACTGGGTAAAGCTACAACGTTCAATATTTTTTATGGTGAGCTTATTCGGGCAAAACAACGTTTTATGAAGGTACAGCAAAGCGCCCGTCGCTTGCTCACATTAACTGTACGTCTTAGAGAAAATACATAGTTTGAAGCGGCACTGTTGCAAATAATAAACAAAAACTTGTGAAATCTTTTTATAAGCATCCACTTCAGGCGAGGTCCCTATATTACGAAGCTGGAGTGCGTGCCAGTTTATATCACATGTATTTTGTATGTGCATGGCACTTCATGGCGCCCGGCTTTTGTACGCCGTAGCATGCTGGGAGCGTCTGCTACCGTTGTCGGTTAACATAACACAGGCAAAACCATACACATCACGTCCACCTGCAGCGTATTTATCACGTGGTCATGTCTTAGAGACGTCTTCCGGTTGTTCTCAAAGCGCCGTGATGACGATAATAATGCAAGCAAAACCATACATAGCAGAAAAACTTGCACATCAAGCAAGCGCTCAAACCAAACAGAAAACTCCCTCCTGTTGTACTTCAAGTGCAGTAATGATGTTGTTAAGTGTGTAAGACATTATTAGGGACCTAATCTCTTATGCGCTGTCGTCGCCTGGCTTAAGGCAGGCAAAAGGACGTGTAAATAGTATTTGATGGAAAGAAAGCGATAAATAGACAAGAAGAACGAAAATTTAGGAAAGCTAGAAAAATTAAAGGGAAGAAAAGAAGAGAAGTTATGGGGACAACAAGAGATAACGAGAAAAGGAAAGAAAGAGATAACCGAAAAGGAACAGAAGGCTGCCCTGCTTGGCACTTTCTTCAGTCTTGCAACCCTAAGCGCGACGCTGCATTCATTTCATAAATAAAGCTGTGCCTAGTCCCACGTATAACCTTAAGGGCGCGCCCCGTCGCAGTAGTCTAGTGGCTAAGGTACTCAGCTGCTGACCTGCAAGTCGCGCGATGGAGTTCGGGCTTAGTTGGCTGCATTTTGATGGAGGCGAATATGCTGTAGGCCCGTGTGCTCAGATTCAGGTGCAGTAATAAACCTCAGGTGGTCGAAATTTCGAGAAACCCTCACTACGAATATGGTGGTTTCAGTAGGTTAAACCTGAATCAATCAATCAATCAGTTTAAAGACGAAATCGACACTTATTATACACACGACGAGGTATAAATATACGTAAGTAGTAAAGAGCCACATTTTTTCAATGTAGCTTGTTACTTGGCTTGTTATTTTCATAAATAACTTTAAAACTCAGATAAAACGTGGTTGCATGGTTACAGGAACTCCCGCTAAAACAAAACGACAGCATGCACCAAGTCGCATGAAGGGCTACCAGCATCGCTATCAATTCTCAGCGTTACTGGACGAAAAGACACGTCCATGTTAAGCCCCTTTAAAATCGAAAAATACCACGTATAAGATAAGATGATTTCGGGAATACCTACTGCAGCTACGAATTCTACGAAAGATAAGATCTCTGTCGCACCGCAAGAAAGTTGGGTCGAGAAAAGTCAATTGTCAGTTCCTTTGACGAGGTTCACAAAAACACCCTTTTATCGAGCTTATTGGTCAGAGAAGCATAAAACTCAGGGAACAGCCGCTGAAGCATTCTTATTCTTCCTGGCGAAATAATATGTTGTGCATAGTAATAATTAGGGCTTAATGTCCCAAAACCATTATATGATTGTGGGAGATGCCGTAGTGGAAGGCCCTGGATATTTTTACCACCTGGGGTTCTTTGACGTGCACCTTAATGTTACCACACGGGCCTCAACTATTTACGCCTCCAGTGAAAACGCTTGGGCCAGGATTTGATGCCATGACCTGCGGGCCAGCAGTAGCCAGCGGTCTGGTAGCATTAGCTACTAGACCATCGAGATGGGTTGTATTTCGTGTCTCTTTATCACATAAGAAGGAAACGCATAAGCAACGCCCCTCACCTGCCGGAATTAAGCTTTCTGCCTATGTATTTTTTCGGAATGCTCGCTGATTTTTCTAACCAGATTCTGCTTCTGCGCGCCTTCATTCAAATGTTGTGAGCTCGGAATGACAGGCCCTTTCTGTGTTACTACACGTGTCTTGTGCGTGTTCTGCGCGGTGAGATTTGATTTCGCCTTTCAAAGTCCATGAAAGAATCTCGAATTAAGACAGCTCTGACGGAAATGGGCATGCTCCACAGCTTTCCAATATAAACAACGGCGCTCACGTTCAAGGATTCATAAAAGAATCAGGCAGTTTTTGTTAACTGATCGCGTTAATATACCAGGTCATTGGCGTAAAAGACCGAAGCCCCACTAATACACACCTTTTGCGAAAACGTTATTCGCCCAAAAGGAACACCGTGCCCATCTATATATACATATATAAATATATATACATATATAAATAAATAAATAAATAAATAAATATATATATATATATATATATATATATATATATATATATATATATATATATATATATATATATATTCTGAGCGCAAGCTTATAGAAGAACAAGTCAACGACATGCTCGCGCGCAACGTCATCAGGCCTTCGACAAGCGCATGGTCTTCTCCTGTCGTACTAGTGAAAAAAAAGGATGGCTCGGTACGGTTTTGCATTGATTACAGATCACTCAACAAAATCACTCGTAAGGAAGTCTACCCAATGCCTCGCATTGACGACGCTCTTGATACTTTACAAGGTGCCGAGTACTTTTCAAGTCTCGACTTGCGCTCCGGTTATTGGCAGATTCCAATGCACGAGTCTGATAAAGAGAAGACTGCGTTTGCTACGCCAGATGGGCTCTTTGAATTCAATGTAATGCCTTTCGGCCTGTGCAATGCCCCAGCCACATTCGAACGGATGATAGACACGGTACTGCGGGGATTAAAATGGAAGACCTGCCTTTGCTACCTGGACGACATTGTCATTTTTTCATCGAGCTTCTCACAGCACCTGGAACGGCTAGACGAAGTCCTCACGTGTTTAGCTAATGCCGGTCTCCAGCTCAACACTAAGAAGTGTCGGTTTGCCAGTCACAGCATCAAGGTATTAGGTCATGTCGTCAGTAAACATGGCGTTGAGCCCGATCCCGACAAGGTTGCCGCGCTGCTGCACTTTCCTACACCAACCACACAGAAAGACCTCCGCAGCTTCCTTGGCTTAGCGTCGTATTTCCGCCGCTTTGTACGTGATTTCGCTACTATTGCGACTCCTCTGCACAAACTTCTGACCACGAGCGCACCCTTTGTCTGGTCGGATGACTGCGAAGCCGCTTTTCACACCCTCAAGCGATGCCTCACATCACGGCCAGTGCTTCGCCATTTCGACCCTGCAGCACCTACTGTGCTACACACTGACGCAAGTGGACTTGGCATCGGTGCTGTCCTTCTTCAGCGGAACCAAGCTTCCGAAGAACAAGTCGTGGCCTACGCGAGCCGTACTCTGTCACATGCTGAGCGAAACTACAGCATCACTGAGCAAGAATGTCTCGCCATCGTGTGGTCCATCCAAAAGTTTCGTCCTTACTTATACGGCCGGCATTTCACAATAGTGACTGACCATCATGCTCTGTGTTGGTTATCGTCTCTCAAAAATTTGTCGGGACGCCTTGGCCGTTGGGTACTACGATTGCAGGAGTATGACTACAGCGTCACATATAGGTCGGGCCGAGAGCACCAAGATGCTGACGCTTTGTCCCGTTGCCCGCTCTCGCAAAGCGCCGAAGTGTCACCTTCCATCTGTTCGTCACCGCCTGCCAAAGTGACCAAACAGACGGCTGCTCCTTCGAAACAGTTAGTTGCCTCGGCGGACCTTCTTTCGTCCACAGATCTCGCCTCGCTCCAACATGCCGATACCTACTGCCGCATAATCATCGATCGGCTCACTGGCTTATCGCGTGCTCCAAACAGCCGCCTAAGACGACAACTTGCCCGTTTCAAGCTTCAAGAGGGAACATTATGTCGGCAAATTTACCATCCTCTCGGTAACCAATGGGTTCCCGTCATTCCTCGCTCACTTCGTCTGGAAGTTCTACAAGCGTTTCATGAAGATGCGACAGCTGGCCACTTAGGGTTCCACAAGACCTACGACCGCCTCAGGACTCGCTGCTTTTGGCCTGGCCTCTCCACTTCTGTCGCCAAGTACGTCGCTTCCTGCGCGTCATGCCAGCACCGAAAACGTACCACGTCTCTTCCCGTGGGGCCACTGCAACCACTGCCGTGCCCGTCCACTCCCTTTGAATTTGTGGGCATAGACTTATACGGACCTCTTCCGCTTACGCCAGCCGGTCACCGCTGGATTGTTACTGCCGTAGACCACCTTACTCGCTACGCGGAGACGGCAGCTCTTTCATCTGGTGCTACCTCTGAAGTAGCCGATTTTTTCCTTCGCGCCATTATTTTACGACATGGCGCACCGCGTGTGCTCCTTAGTGACCGTGGCAAGACATTTCTTTCACATGTCCTTGCTGAAGTCCTACAGGCCTCTAACACCATCCACAAGACCACATCAGCGTATCACCCAGAAACTTATGGTCTGACTGAGCGTTTTCACCGAACTTTGTCCGACATGATCTCTATGTACGTGCAACCAGATCACAAAAACTGGGACACAATACTTCCTTTTGTCACGTTCGCATATAACACTGCCATACAGCGTACAACGAATTTTAGCCCTTTTTTTCTCGTGTATGGCCGTGTACCGACTTTTGTTCTGGACACCACCTTTTTGTCCACATCTTCCAATCCATCTTCATCTCTCCCGGAAGAGTTCGCCGCTCGCGTCGCCCGCTGCCGTGAAATCGCCCGCGCCAACACTGCTACCATTCAGGACAAGAGAAAAATCGACATTGATGCGAAGCGTCGAGTTGTTGTGTTCCGCCCAGGCGACGAAGTCCTTTTGTGGACACCTGTTCGTGTACCTGGGCTCTGCGAAAAATTCCTTCACCGGTATCTCGGTCCATACACCGTCCTGGAACGAACATCTGAAGTCAACTATCGCGTTGCTCCTGTCAACGCGGCTTCTGATCGTCGTCGCCGCCACACCGAGATCGCCCACGTCTCTCGACTGAAACGATATATTCGGCGTCCCAACCCTTTCTAACTTGCTGCCCTCTTTCGCGAAGGGGGGAAAATAGTGTGAGCGCTGACTATGTACTTCATCTTCATCTGCATGACCAAACCATTGTAGTGATCATCATCGTATGTCACGCGGGCTGGCGCTCTGGCTCGTTGGCTCTTGCGCCTGGATTAAAGAAGGATAACCTGGTTGCTGCCGTACCGGACGTGGTCTCATAATATATATATATATATATATATATATATATATATATATATATATATATATATATATAGTATATATATACTGTGCGCCCTGCTGATTTATTGCAGCCTGTTGCACCCCCGTCACAACCGTTTGAACGAATCGGCATGGACTTGCTTGGACCCTTCCCGAAGTCACATGATGGCAACCGCTGGATCGTAGTCGCTACTGACTATTTAACGAGGTACTGCGAAACGACAGCCCTACAACGAGGCACCGCCAATGAGGTTGCGCGCTTTTTCATCAACAACATCGTCCTCCGCCATGGAGCGCCAACAGTTCTTATCACTGACCGTGGAACAGCCTTTACAGCCCAATTGATGCAAGACGTCACGAGACATAGTGGAACAGCTCACCGCAAAACAACCGCATACCATCCACAAACCAACGGTCTGACGGAGAGATTAAACAAGACGCTCGCTGACATGCTATCTATGTACGTCGACCGTGATCACAAAAACTGGGATGCAATTTTGCCATACGTAACGTTCGCTTACAACACTGCGGTTCAAGAGACTACGGGTTTCACTCCCTTCCGGTCGCTTCACGGCCGAGAAGCAATTACGATGCTTGATGCCATGCTGTTGCCTGACACGACCGATATTACTACTGATGCGAACGACTTTATCCGGCTCGCCGACGCGGCCCGCCAGCTGGCACTCGAGCGGATCCGAAAACAACAACGAATCGACTCGCAGAGGTACAACTCCCGTCATCGCCATGTCATTTACCAACCCGGTGATCTGGTCTGGCTGTGGATCCCCGTTCGCCAAAGGGGCCACTCGGAAAAGTAACTCCATCGCTACTTCGGTCCTTATAGAGTACTACGGCACCTCACCGATGTCAACTACGAAATACTGCTTGAAGACACAGCTCGACGATCTCGATGTTCCCAGCAGGCCGACATTGTTCATGTGTCACGGATGAAGCCACACTACACCCGAGCCACCTGACACTGCTTCATCATGCGTCTTTGTGTGTGTACGCGACTACTTTAACTTTTAATCGGCATTGGTCATCGGGGTGGTACTTTTTTTTTCGCAGGGGGGGCGGGTAATGCCACAGGCATGGAACGAGGTTTAGCCATGCCAATGCGAGTATGTGCCATGGTGTGAAAGAAGAAGGTGACGGTTGGTGTGCTCGTGCTCTAACGTTCGGTTCGGCTCGACGTCCAGTGCCGCTCCTGTGAACCGACGTTGTGGTCGTTCTGTGATCACGTGACAATATATATATATATATATATATATATATATATATATATATATATATATATATATATATATATATATATATATATATATATATATTATACATATATATATGGGATCATTTAAACGGCCCGCATTCACTAATTCACTAAGCACCACAAAGATGAGGCGTCGAGGTTCGAGGTTGAAAAGAACACTTCCGACGAAACTGGCTTTTTAATCTTTTACCTAGCCGTATGCTATGTGCTTTCACATAAAGATGTTCGTGTAAATTGTGTACCCATTTGATTGATTAACTTTGCGCCTTCTCGCTTAGCAGAAGCGTATCTGCAAGGTTAAGCAAAACAAAACAGAATCCCGCCTCTTAGGTTTGCTTCGAAAGGTGTAGCATTGATAGGAGCTGTTCAAACCAAGCATCTACTTTTTAAGTGATGGTACTTAGTCATTCTTCATGAATTATTGAGAAATATCGCTCACCTTTTCCAAAGCGCATAGCTTCCGACATAATATCTTTCTAAAGATACCTTAGGTTGAGGTCAAAGCATTGTTATCACATGATTTTTATTTTTCACGGCCGTTACTGAATACCCAAAAACCAAGAGTAAGGAGCTTTACGGGAAAAGTTTGAAAGATACGAGATTGCAACACATTGAAGCAGACGCTGACATGATGAAGAAGAAACTTTCCACACCTGATTCACTATGTCAGCCGAAGTATTATTGAAAAGTGTTCGCAAGTATTCTGAAAACATTTCTAATGTTTGGGCACAGAAGTGCCTTTTTATGAGATGAGAACTTTTTGTTATATGTGCCATAGCGGTTGGCGGGTAAGACAGAGAGTAATAAGGCAACGTCTGTTTTGCCGATTACTGAGGATTATGGATAAATCAACACTCATTTTAAGCTTTCGCACACTTTTCAGGACTCCGCATTTACTGTTGACTGGTAGTCATAGCTTACATCGCTGGTGAAATTTATTCACACAATTCCAGAGACACAAATACACTATTATTGCGAAATATTGAAAAGCTCATTTCACTAGTAGAACTTGGAGGCATGAGGATAGAATACGTGTAGTGCAAAAACATTTTCTGGTCAAGTAATCATGCACTCCAATCATGAGGTTCTACTTGCACTATAGTTTTACGAGGCTACACTTTTCAGGATTATTGAGCATGTTTAAGCTCATAGTTTTTACGACATACCTTGTATGCCAGCGTGCTACCCGTGTCGTATGCGAAGAGCGTTAACAATTTGCCGTTGCTGACGTAACGCCAAAAGTGCGAGTACGTTTTGTTGTCGAAGTAGTAGCTGGTCTGCTTGTCTTCCACCGGGTACAAGTTGTTGCGGCCCCTGGTTGTGAACTGCAGGGAAATTAAGCGCGACAAAAATGAATGATTCACGCACTGTACAGACAACGCGCGCGCGAAAGAAGTGGCACGGAAGTTTCTTGATTGTCCACTTGCTACAAGCTACTTTGATGGAAACAACGGTGAGAAGAGATAAAAGAAACCCGCGAGCTGTTTTCCTTTTGTCCCATCGCCGAGCTGTTTCAATCGAAGGAACGACAGTATTGTGGGGTTGACTTTGTTTCATTTGCTTCGTAGACAATGCGGCAATAGGTTGCATGGGGCCAAAGTGCATAATCTGTATTACGTACAGTACGTGACTCAGTAAACAGCTAAGCTGATAGGGAACATCTTAGGTCTCGTTTAGGTTCTCACGTAGCTGGCGAAACGGGCAGCTTCGAGAAGGCAGCATTGAATACAAATGCGATGCAAGCCACTTTTCTGTAGACACAAGATGCCTGCTGGTCGGTGAATACACGTATTTATCCCGTATGGTCATAAGCCCAGAATTGGATGCCACGGTTAGTTTTTCGTAGAACTTAGCACGAAAAAAGACAAAAGAAAAAAATGTTTGTTTTAATGGCATTTTTGTCGACATGGGATAGAGATTTGAGGCTTCAGGCAGGCGCGTTCTTTGATCGCACCAATAGGGCTGAATGCTGTCCCTTAGCCCTTCCACATTGACTGACTAAGATGGTGTTAGCCCAAATTAGCGAACATCTATTGCTTGTTAGGCAACATTACAAGTGAGTCACGAACAGTTGTCATTATTAGTCACTGTTAGGTATTTCTAGGCTAGCCGTAGGGTTGATTTGTAGTCAATAATATTTAAAAAACAGCGCAAGTAGTGTATGCAACATACCCAGGCTTGTCAAGCAAACAGTGGAGGCTTTATGGCAAAAAAAAACGGATCATTAGTTAGCCACTTGAGGAAAAATATTACTAAGTTGAATACTAAAAGCGTAAGGCGCCAGAAGAAAGCAAATACGCCTCTACTATAGAAAACACAGCTGAACTGCAAATGCGTGGGTGTATATGATTGGCTTATCACATCCCGTGGTGTCGTAAAATATCCGCGCTTACAGGCCATTGGTCAAAGCGAGATCCCATATACCAGCCTGCGCAGACAAAGGCGCTTCTGTGAGGTGGTCAGGTCCAGCGATTACTCACTGGATCATGTGCAGTAAATCGGCCGCTTAAGTTGCAGTGTGTGCGTTTACTCCTCACGAAATTTTGTTTTGCCAAGTCCCGGACTAGTCGCCGGCCACCGGTGGACGCCTCGGTTCCCATGGTACTATACTGAGTGCCGTGATCCAGGAGTCCTCAGGGGCTTTGAGGCGTCTGCGCCCTGCGTGTTTGGAATGCTGGACGTGTCCTCCACGGCACCTGCCACGCCGTCAGCTCCGTCTGTGGCTGTGACCCTGGCCTCAACACTGATCCAATCCTGACCCCAACGGTGGTCAGATCATGATTAGTATCCATTCCTCATGGCGCGGAAAACCGGATTTCCCCTCGAGTCACTTTTATGGAAAGCGGCTAAGCGCAGATGGATATGAACGGAGACACGTTCGATAGTAGTCAGGAACTCGCTACGTTTCTTTGAATAATGAAAGACAAAAGCCCAAACAAAGCTGTATGGCAATCATATACTAAAGCTATATCTTAGTGATATACTAAATTCCAACGGCGAAACGCTTAAATCCGAAGAGCTCTTATTTTATTGAAGGAAGACGACGAAAGACGGGTAGTGTGGCGGCACGGCGGGCACTCAGTTTGCTTGTCGATGTCGCACGGGGTACGTCGGTCCCTGTTGGTCCCTCCTTTGCAATATTCTGAAGACATCGTGAGTGTTGTACTGTGTGCGCTGCACGGATTTTTCAAGCCGAACAAGTGTTGTACCCTTCAGTGCCTTGTAAATGAGAACTTGGTGTGGAAGGTGCGTGTTTTCAAATTTCCATCCGACAAACAGTTGTGCAGATAATGGCTGCGTACAATTCCACGAAACAACTTATTTCCATAGCAGTACAGGAAGGTGAGCAATCTCGCAGAATTTTATTTATTTCACAGCGTGATAACACGCACGCGGTGTTACAGCTTCAAATAGTACGCAATATCAGTCGTGTTGCAAAAAAAGGTTCCAGATAAGCAAGTTTTTTATAATTTATTTATTATTTTGTAGGTGTGCGAGCTGTACTTAACGCCCGAAGATTGACACAAGAGGCTTCGTAAATCGACAAAGAAACGAGGCGCATGGTGACCGACCCAAGGCTCACTCCGCGCCTTCTTGTACGTGTATTTCCATCGAAATTGTCGAGTTGCCCAGCTTACTTTTCGAAACATTGCGCGAAAAGAGAGAGCGCCAACTTCAAGCAAAAATGGCTGGAAGCGGCAGCTATCCAGGCAGCATATGCGGAAATAGAGGTAGCATCTCGCCGTAAACACGATGCAGATACAGTACAGTGCATAGCAGCTTAGCTTTCCATATGAGGAGCAGAAAGTCAGCTCTTCCAAAGAACTTTTGTTGGAGAATAAATTGCAAGATTTCGTGGCTCATTTTAAATGAAACAAGAGAGAGTTAGAAACACCGATTAAGAAGTATACTGCTCTTGACGTGGTTTTTGTGTAAATAAAGCTCTTCAGAAAGCATGCCATCAGTCTCCTATTCTCATTTGTAAGACGTGAGCTTTTTCACATTACTTGTTATCAGATTTCCTCGCTTTTATTTGATAAAGGCTAACCAATTAGTTTCGCAATTGCAGGCATGTATCACTCGAAATGAGAAATGCACGAAAAAAGCACGTGTTTTCGCCTTATCGTTAGGTATAAAAGGAAGAAACATAAACGCAGAGGTGTGCTTGTCTACTGTTTTTATTTTTGTGGAGTTTCGTGTGTCGCATGCTTGCCGATTAATTTCCTGACTGCAAGCAAGCGTAAACATCTATTTCTACTTACTACGGAACAACTAATATAACGCCACAACAGCAAGCGCACTTTTTAGTGCACTAAAACAAACAAAGACGTTAAAATGGGTTAGGGGTTCTTGCCAAAAATATTTTCATGGAGTTTGTTTACTGCTCGGCGGCGAGCAGCAGCCACCGCCAGTTTGTGACGTCACGCCAGCAGCCTTCTGACCTTAAAAGTCTGGGTGGTGTTGGTCCGAGTGTTTCTCCGCCCATCACATGAGTCTTTTACTCCTTTACTTACCCCATCTCTCTGTTTTTTCGCATTGTTTCGTTACCCACTCTATTTTCTTTTCGATTTTATTTTGTTTTTCACTTCGCTATCACTGTTCCTACAGTCCCCGTTCCCCTACGAGTATATCGGTTGAGGTTTCTCACGTGAGAGGCAGTTATCATACACCCACACTCCACTTCTCCTTCCCCTTGCCGATCTAGCGTGGCATGCAGATAGACGTGAGTTCTATGCGTGGCCAAAAGAACGTGTGCTGAAGAAGTAAGCGCATGCGGGCAGCTAGAACAACAGAAAGCTCCGACAGCTGCCAGTTGCTCAACCAATCGCAGCCTACGAGTGCTGCGCGTCAGATTCAACTTCTGCATGTCACGTGGAGATGGAAATGTCCGGAGAGAAGGAGATATTGTTTCTTCGAATATGTGGCACGCCAGTGGCTCGTAGCGCTGCCACGTTTGGTATCATTGATGTTGATGGTATTCTACATACGATGCACGTATTCTCTTAAAATGAGTGCTTCTACAAGTCTGTACCTTTTCTGAAGGGCCGCTGGAATTCAGTCATGAAGTCTTTATGATAATCATATGTTCTGATACCCTATGACAATTTATAGGCATGTATCATGCAATATTACTGCGATGTTGTACTGTGAAGCCTGTATACAAAGCGCTTGAGTTCGTAAAGCACGTATGTTATTTTCCCTGCATTTCACTACGTGGTCAAAGCGCGCAGTACTCTGTGCGGCTGTTCCTCGCGGATTCACCTAGGATGCTCAGAAAGAGAGTTTGTAGAGGTAGACAGAAGAACCGACAAACGTTTTTTGTACGTGGGTCTACAAGTGCAGTGCCCCAACTAAGACGATCTACGCATCTCCAGGAAGTGATAGATGAAGGGTGCGTGGGGCTAGGTCCAAGGTCGATAATGTCTGCGTTTACATCTCCGACTAGCATAAAAAGTGTGCTTGTAGGTATTTCAGTAAAGTAAAAAGTTGGGCGAGTTGGTGCTGGTTCATGATGATAAGGGGCGCGAAAAAAACGACACACAACAGAGAAGAAGTACACGGGACGACGCGCTACTAGCAACTGGAATATTTTATTCAGGAAACACCATTTATACCGCAGTGACATCAAATTTAACCCAACGAATCGACCAAAAACTAAAAAAACACACACATGCTCAGCATGCCTATAAGTAACGTTGCAGATAGGCTATCTCCCCTTCCTGCAGACTGATAGAGGGGTGGCTGATGCAATCAGGCCCCTCCCTCTGGATAAAGAGGGCTTCTATAATCTCCCTCTCCGCTGAGCCCCTGTGCCTGTAGATTACAGTTGTCTGCTCAAATGCCGGCTTACAGTTACCCTGATCGCATCCTCTGCAATGCATCGCCAGATGCGTGAACGGCCTTCCTATTAAAGAGCTGCTGTGCTCTCGCAACCGCACGTTGAGGCATCTACCAGTTTGCCCTATGTATGCCTTGCCGCACGACAGTGGTATTCTATATACAACACCACGTGCGCAAGGAACGAACTGCCTTACGTGCTTAATAAGGGGCGGGGCTTGACATTCACGTGCGAAGTGCCAAAGAATGGAAAGCTGCGTTTTCTGGATTTGCAGCTGTCATTCCAACAAAAACACGTGTGTTGGATGTTTTCCCCTAGGACCGCGAAGCCGCTTCTTGATTACAGCTCTGGGCACTCTCGCCTAGTAAAAAATGGCATTGCCATGACGTGCCTAAAAACGGCGTTGGACAGATCATGCCCACATCTTATGGAGACAAGTTTTTTCGCGCAGGTGGAAAGACTAAGAGACGCGGCGTTTCC